GCCATTTTTGAATGACAAGTCATTAGCCAATGAGCTAAAAATGAGCACAAATAATCCTTTCTGAAACATAGCATGTGGCTAAGACTAGTTGATTAGCAGTGACTGTATTATCAAAAAAAAAAAACAAAGAAGAAATTGTGTACCGGCAAATTAATGAAAGACTGGAAAAATAATCCAGTACACAAGAAAAACAAAAACACAACAGTTGACGCAGTAAAAACCATAAAATGAGTAATGTGAGTGAGTGTGAACTTTACTTTGAAAGGTAGAACTCCAGCAACATAAGCTCTACCATAGATCTTTGTGATGTTTCCTCTCTCAGTCATTGTGACAGGTGTCAGCTCTTTGACTGGATTCACCGTCACCATGACCTCACCTCCACCTTTAGGGTAGAAACCCCTGATACACAAATACACAGTCAGATACACACAAGTACTCCAGTAACATTTCAACTCTGTCGATCTTGGTACACTGACCTCATTCTGATGTCACAGTCAAAATGGACTCCAAACTTCTCCACAATGGGTTTGAATACCTGAAGACAATTTAAAAAAACAAAAACAACACACAATCAAATGTAATATAAAAACAAACTCTATAAACACACACTTAAAGTTCTCTGCTTTCACTTTCACTGGAAGTGCATCAAGTTAGGCACTAACTGAAGCTCTGAGTCAGTTAGCAGGGTAACAGACTGTGGTAACCCGAAGTTTCTCTCTGGTTGACTAATATCACAAGCCCATCAGTAAACTCTGTCTTATCCCTTTCTTCACATTTGATCTTCACTTTCTGTCTCATAGGCCACATCAGATTACTGCTGAATAACTAGATTTAAAAGTCAAATAGAACTCTAGCAACATCTAATGAATATTAGACTTGGGTGGATGACCACTGACAGCATAAAAAGTTGTGTTCTATCAAACTTTAATACAGTCTATGGAGGATCAGAGTGGTCCAGGCAAAATAAAGTGACTCTTTCCACTCTAAAGGTAAACATCATGGTCCATACTGACATAATATAGTCTTCAGTGAGTTGGATTAAAACGGAGACTGTTCTTGGTATTGGGGTACCAATGATGATTGCTTTGTCTGTTATAGGGCTGCGGTGTGTCTATGTCGATTACCTTGATAGTGTAGTCAATCTGAGGAGCCATCTCTGCGTTGGTTCCTCCCTTCAGACAGAGCTGTGAGGCAGCATCGGCATAAAGAGCACAAGGCAGAGCAACCTGCAGCAGGAGACACACACTCCTGACACACACACACACACACACACAAGAAGTGATTATATTTAGATGTTTAATGTTTAAAACAAAAACAATCAATAGCTTTTGTATTACTGCCAGATAGCAGCTGGTTACATAGTAAGTGATGCAGTCAGTGGGTCAGACTTACCCTGCAGTCTGCGTGTCAGCCGTGTAGTTCCCAGCCCGGGTTTTACCAGGAGTCAGACTGATGTCAGTGGAGCCAATGCTGGCTCCTTGAAGACTGCCAGAACACAGATCTGAGACCAGCTGCAGGCCGGTCAGGTGCTGTGGTCTGCACACAATTGATCAAAATGTTACCATTTGAAATTTCAGAACTCCTGTTCTTTTACTGGGACTTTGAGGGGGCTTGTGCCTCCAACTTTTTAAGAACGAAATAGAAATGCACACGAAAACGTCGCAAATAAAATGCACCGAACAGTAATCAATAAAATCTAATTAAGATAACTGATTAAAAGCCGAGGAAGTTCTGCGGCACAGAGTCGTGAAGGTTTCTGCTGAAGCTGCTAAAAGTCGTGCTGTGCAGACTGAAGCTGAAGGTGACAGATGGTCTTCTTTTCACACAGAAGCTGCGTTTTTAAATCAGCTGAGTCTCAACAAAAGCACGCAAACAAACCGGGAGGTATTTAACTAATCAGCGTTCACACGGTAGAGCAAATAACACCAATGTAAATAAATCGGACAATCGGTTGTTTTTGTTAATAATTTTAAGTTAACCGATGCAGCAACTTTAATGAATAGGCTAACATTAGCCTGCTAGCACTGAGCTAGTAACTCACCTCAGACCCGGCGTGCTTCTGCCGGCTCGGATTTTAGTGATTTTGATGGAGGACCCGATGATGCAACTGAGCGCCGCCGAGACTCTCAGGATCTGTCCGCCCTGCACAGAGCAAATGAAAGGGAAACAGAAGCGACATCAGCGAGCTAAAAACCGCCTGCTGTCCGCCGCGCTAGCATTGTGCTAGCACATTAGCGGCGGGGAAAGCCGGCAGCTTTTCATGTGATCACCTCCCCAACATAAAGTGAGTACTCACTCCTTCCATCACGCTGCCGTCTATCTCCACAGCCTCAGAGTCCATCTTCATTCAAAACAAAATTTTTTTTACTCGGATGCTGTTGCTCAGCTCAACTCCAGGTTCCCGTACTTTTCCCTTGTGTTTGTTCTTCTTCTTCTTGGTCTTTATCAGCGGTTGACAAAGAACGAATTGGTGCATTACCGCCACCAACTTGTATGGAGTGGGAAGTAGAATGACGCTTCAGGATTGGATGCTATTATACAAATGGGTTTGTCTAAGATACCTAATTAATATGGCGTTATTTTTGTAGAATAGTGGCACAAAAATAACGCCATAAATTATGACCTGATAACTTTTACTTCCTGGGTTATTTCTAAGTAAACAAATTAAATCTTGTTTCAGTTTCATTCTATTTGGGTTTTGAATCAGTTGTCTTCTTTCTTTCTCATACTCCTGACAGTATAATATTACATGCTCTACTCTCAGCACCCCCACAGTACTTACATTTTTAATTGCAATGTTTCCCTAAAATGCATGGTGTATAATTTAGCCCAGTGCACCTTAATATGAGACGTAAAATGATTGCGTCTTCTCTACTCCTTCTCCCTACACTTCTTCATCTATAACCGAATGACTGCAACCACTTCCATTAACTTTCAAACTAAAATGAAAAAAAAGTGACCACACTAAAACAGTTTTTTTCTTTCCTCCAAGTGGTGGAGTAGAAAACATGATTTTGTTTATTTACTAAAATATTTTATCTGTAGTTTATGGAATACAACATTTTCCAGCCATTAACTCTCCTCAGTTCCTTTCAAATTATTTTACAGTCCAATTGAAAAGCTGTACAGAAGTCTTGACCCCTTCATCCGCTGTTTTTTTACATTTTGCTAGGACAATGGGAAGCTGGTGCAGCAAATGGCTGAAACATGGGCAAACATGCATGAACATATAAAACAGAGTTTGTAATGAGCTTGAAAGCCAAGATTTGGTATGAGCACCTTTATTATACTCTCTTACTATCCTAGGCAGCTTTACTGTAACGTCAATGAAGATTTGAACCAAAAATTGCAAATTTGGCTTCATCACTCTTCATGAGACCCATTTTTCAGTTAATTTCTTGTGTAAAGTACTTAGGAAAAGAGTGGTGCACCAAGAGTATGAAGATGACCCAAAATGAATGCTGGGATGGGGTGGGCCACAAGGAATACACATGAGCCATCCTTCAAATCTGGGCATTTGGAGGAGCGTTGGAATTTGGACAGTCTTTGTTGAAATGCCATACCTCTGTGATTTTAGCTACTTTGTAACCTTTTTCTAAAGCTAAAGTAAATGCAGGGATGGGCCACAAACCAGTCAGAGCTCTTTGCTCATTACCAAGATTATATCACAGGCTGCTCACTGTTTTGTGAAAATGTGTTTTCAGATTGATTACCGCCATTTAAGTTTACCCTGCTGGAGCTAAATGTATTGCTAAAAACGGACTGTCATGATGAATAAGTGGCTGATTGTTACTCTCCCTCTTTATGCTTTTTTTTTAAACTCAAATAATAATAATATTAATAAATAAATGTCCAAAAAAGTAAAAAGAAAGCTTAGTTTTTCTTTTGTTGTTGTTGTTTTTTTTTAAATCAAATACAAAACATTAACTCTCATGATATGAAAACATTTTATTAGAAAAGATCTTCAATGTATAACTAAAACATGACAAATTAACAACAAAGTAAACAAACACTAATAAACTGCGACTGAAAGTATCTTAACTCGGTTGGCTGAGGCAGCAGCAGGGAAGCTCGGACCTCCCTCTAACCACCTCCTCCTCCGGGGAGCCATCGAGCTGTTCCCGGGTCTACCCCGGCCCTTCTGATGGACATGCCTGGCTGAAACACGTTACCCAGCAGGCGACAGCCTTTAGACGTGGAGGAGTGGCAGCTCTACCAGTCGGTTAGTGGACTAAGAAATCAGTGTCCAGAAACATCGCAGATCTTACTGATTCTAAACGTCAAACCCCTTCCTCACTTAAAACTGTTTGTTTCCCGCTCTCCAAGGAGCTCCAGGCCCCGCTCGTAGACTCGAGAGGCTTTTGCTGTAGCTCAGTCAGGCAAACGAGAGCTCTCAGACCTCTGGCTTCAGGTGAGGGGGTGTCACAGCTCCACAGCACGTGTTTCTCTCCCGCGCTCTCATGGGTCGAAGCAAGGGCCTGCCTCTCTTTTAATGACGGGCCACCACTAATTTAACGTAGTTTATTGACGTTCAAGGTCACTCCGACCTTCAGTCAAGGGTCTGACGGGTGTCGGCCGACTCAGAGCTACTCTGAATATGACTTTTTTTGCATCAATCTTTCAAATGTTTGATATTTGTGTCACCTCAAGCTAATAATAAATGCTAATATCAGGTTAAAATGACTCGATTGTAGTACAAATGCCTTCAATGACATGTCTCATCACATATGCAAGCAGACTGTTGAGCAGTGGGGCCACACAGACCCATGTTATTTGTAAAATCATTCTAATTAAGTGGCATTTTTAAATGCCTGCAGAGTCTGTCAGATAAACAGCAGCAGTAACTGTCACAAGTTCCTCAAAGGCCATTATTTGACTCATATTGTTTTTACTGAGGAGCTATCAAATGATGTCTGTTCAAGGCATTCTTTATAAACACGCCTCACCCCACTAATATTAATGATTTGTATGCACATAGAAGACTCTTGATACCAAATACATATGTGTAAAACATTTATTAAGTGTACAAAAAGTAGCTTGACAGAAAATCATAGATAAAACAGACAATACATGCCATAACCCCTACATGAATAATAGCATTTCTCCGGTTTTTCAGACTTCTGTTGTCATCAATGTTGGTTACTTTTCAGTTATTAGTAAAGCAACTGGTGCTTTCTCCCAATAGAAATCAAAACATTTTATATTAACTGTTCGTATGAAGTGAAGCCTTTTGACTTTTTAGTGGAACACTACAGGAATAGTGTTTAGGTCATTTTTTTTGTTTATTTTTTTACATGGACCCTGAAATATAAGTCGAGTTTCCCAGTTTCATTAAGTCACAAAAACCCTACCAGAGCCAATCTAAGAATTGTACACACATAAAAAAAAAAGTTAAACTGATTACATAGAACTAGTAAATCACACAACACAAACACACGAGAGAGAGCCGTTTCCACAATAACACACAGCAGGTATGAGAAAAACTCATACAGTGTGCTCAAGTCAGAAACAGAGTACAGACGGAGACCGTGTACTCGAAATATCACGTCAGACCTGCAAAAGTCTGAGGAAACAGGAATCTTACTTCCATCATTTATCCCACACACTTCAAAAAGTTTGTCAGTTTTAGGTTTCGGATTGAGAAAGCTTTAACTTTAATTTCATCATCTAACCTAATCCAATTGACACTGCACTGTCCAAAGAAGAACAAACCCAAGCAAAGAAAAACTGGCCGCTGCATGGTAAATGTTCCTAAACCCCAAAGCCTCAGCTCCACTCTGCAGATCCAGGTGTTTATTAACAGCCTGGCATGTTGGTTAGATGAGTCCAATATCCTGTCTGTCTGCACACATACGTCCTGTTTCTGGGATGAGTGTTTTGGCTCAGAGACGCAACATTTAGCAAGTCTGAGAAGCACCAGTTAGTTCTCCAACTTTGTCGGATGAAAACTGAAAACGGCAACAAGAGGCAGAACAGCAGACTGTAAGAAAACGCCACCCACCCTACAATGTCAGCACTTGTAATAAGTATTCTATTATTGTTCTGAAGTTTAGTTTCATTGGTTCTCTGGAGGCATCAGTCAGTTTTTGTTACAAGTGCAGATTTCTTCCTCTGCAGACTACACACGGGCAGCATAGACACGCATCTGCTAACAGAAGCGTTGCCAGTCAAAATGAACCACTAGTGTTTTTTGGTCAAAAAAAAAGTGCTGGCCCCACTAAGAAAATCTCTACAAAAAACTATTAGCAACCAATAAAGCCAGTCTAGGCAACAAGTTGCAGTGTAATTCAAAAAATAAGAGCTAAATAAGAACATTCAAATACTGTAATGGAGCGGTGTGAGGGCCCTGGACTTCCTCTGGGTCTGCTGTCAGGGTTTACACAGCTGCTTTGGAGCACTCGCAGCTCTTTTAGGTGTGGATAGGACTGAGTTCAACAAAGCACATTTCCCCAAGAAAGCAGGGTTCACATGCATCACATAATTCTGACCATGCTAGTCTTGTTGAGGGTCGTAAGAACACAGACGGGAGAGCTACGTGATTTTAGGTTTGGCAGTTGTCTTGTGTTTTTTCCTGGCTTTATGGATTTCGGTCTGCAGCTCAACTGGGAGCCACATTTAACAAAAAAAAGGAGGCTGCTTTTAGTTTTCAGAAATCTAAGAACGTTTTATCTTCACCTTTGAAGAAATATGGAAGAGAAAAATACGGAGCATAGTCACAAAGAGTTCTAGGTTGTGACCAGAAGGTCAAGTATCAACCGAGTGTACCTCAAAGGTCAGAGGTGGTTAGATTGAGCCCAAAGTAGAAGAACTGGATCCGGTCAATTTGCAAACCACCTTTTGAATAGGGAAATCCAAGGTAACTGAACAAGAATGTATCCTTTCATTTGCATTTGGATGCAAGTGAAAGGAAGACTTCAAAAAATACTAAGAAAACATGCAGCAGACAAACATGAGTATCCACGCAATAAATGTTAAAGTTAGAAACACATTCAGAAAGGCCCTGATCTCACAAGGGGTTTGATAACAGATGCATTTTACCCAGTACACACCCAGTATACAGCGGGTGTACATAGCATATAGACTATATATAGTATATATACCATATATAGTGTCTATATACCATGTTCTGTTGTGCTTAGGAGTTGGGATCCATCATATCTAATCCATCGTTGCTGGCGTCTTGACTAATTTTTATTGACTCATTAAAGTAGGTGCAGAAATATGGAAAGCTATAAAAACCAAGTCCATTATACAAAAATGATCTTGAATAGTAAAAACATCAAATAATGAGGCAATGGACAGGATCATATCTGAATGGCTCTAGAAGAAAAAAGTAGTATATAAAGGGTAAAAGCCATCTACTCATGAGGAAGGCTTCACATGATGGCACACTCTCTGGACGACACTTTGCCCTGTAGGAGAAACAAAAAGGTTTGTTATTGGGAGACTTCCATGTGTAGCAGTACAGATGTACAAGTTCCAAAGACTGACTCCATCCAACAGCCTACAACAGGTGCTGACTGAGACAGACCATGTGTTCTACACTGTTTAACCTCAGTAAATAAACATGTTATGAAAACTATGAGCTCATTTTGAATGTGATCGCAGCCACACGTCATAAATACGTTGGCGCAGGGTCACATGCAGCACTGTGTAGCATCCCCTCTTCTTCTAACAGCAACCCACAAGTGTGTGGGACTTGAGGAGAGCAGCTGTTGGACTTGTGGAAGAGGAATGTGTCCCATTCTTCTCTGTTAGAGGATTCCAGCTGCTCAGCAGTTCTGACCCTGCTTTGTCCTGTTTTTTTGGTGCAAACTGCCACTTCTATAGGCACTGAGATTTTGGTTAGTATGACCTCAGCAGTTTCCCCACTTTGCCTCAGTCTATCTTAAACTGGCTTTGATCCAGAGAAGACAGCGGTGTCTATGGATCACGCTCCCATGTGGCTGCCTCTTTGCATGACAGAGCTCCAACCTGCATCTGTGGAGGGCACGCTGATCCTGAGCCCATGCACTGATTTCCACCACACAATCATGCCCGTTTTAAGGGACTGGTGATGCAGATATCCAACAATGATGATATTATGAACTACAGATGATGAATTACTCAAAGTCTTCACATGTTTACATTCAGAGACATTCTGAAAAACAATTTGTAGACGCAGTTTTCTGCAGAACGGTGAACCTCTGCCTCTCTAAGATGCTCTTTTAGACCCCGTCATGTGACTCACTTGTTGCCAATTAACCTAAGTGGCTGCTACATGTTCCTCCAGCTCTTTCGTTTTAGTACCACTTACTTCATCAACCTTTTATTGACTTTGTCCAACTGCTCTGCTACCTGCTCCTGCCATCGAGTCAAAATGAGCTCATAGTTTTCTTAGCATCTAATCTAACTGCAGTGACAGCCCTGCTCCTTTACACCGAGCCAAACAAAACGTTTTACCAAAAAGGTAAAGAAAAAGAAAAATTGTTGGCCAAGTGTACCGTTTGTGCCACTGTCTCCTCCTCGCCATCAACATCATCTACATCCACCTGAGTGTTGGTTACAGTCCTCCTGGCCACCTCCTGTGAGACAAACACCGCATGACTCAAAAAATAAAAACCATGTACGAATTTCAAGCAAAGGAAACTGGTTTAGTTAGCTATGCACCGACATCTTTACCTCGCCATCAGCATTGACCAAAGAGGTAACTATGTCATTTCCTGTGCCCCAGGAAGCCTGGCTTTTCCACAGCAAGTCAGTTGGAGGACCGTGAGCCATACCAGCATCGGCAGACCACACCTAGGTGCAGGTAAACAACAAAAAAAAGCTGTTTACAACATACTGTATAACATACAGCTTCACATATTACATTTTCACAATATTACACAGCATGATCATCACGGTACAGTCTGTTAAACTTAATAAATATCAGTCTGTCCAGCTGGGAATCCATTTCACCTGCACAGGTGCAAATCAATGACAACAGGTGCAGTGGAGAGACAACAAGTCAACGCCCCAGAGGGTTTAGCAGTCGGGGGCCACAGACCTCCCTCCTTATCCCTCACGACTGATTTTTCTCTTGGTGTCCTTGTCAAATACTAGTAGCATGAGACCACCAGTGGGTGGCAGCACATTCAGCACAGAGGGAGAGGGAGGATGGCTGCTACAGGCCAAATGATCTTTGCTGGTGGGCTCTTTATCAGTGTTCCTGTCTCACCTCCACTACATGTGTGTCTATACGTGTCTGATCGTTTAGGGTCATGCAACCATACGCAATCTACTCACAGTGACAGACTGCCCAGCTTTCAGGACGTATTTTGGTGAGAACTTGTAGATGATTTCTTCCCCGTTGTCAACCTGTCTCTTCAATCTCCAGTTGCCCAGAGGCTGGTCCTGCAAGACATGAGGAGCCTTAATACAGAAGTGCACTTTGTTCAGAAAAGGAGACACAATAGAAAATTTCACCTAACACACCTGCTCAGTATCGTTGATGAGTGTGACTGCGTTTCCATCCATGTCAGTCGGTGATATGGTGACGGCTCCAGTAGCCGTAGCCTCTTCTGACACCAGCAACTGCTCCTCTCCTCTTCCAATCTCGGGCATTTCCCTAACCTCTGCTTCCGCTCTCTTCCTCTTAGAGGAGCGGGAGGATGAAGATCCTGTTAATCTGGACACTGTGACTCGGGAAGACGGGCTGGGGGACAGCTTCAGTCTAAAAAACAGGAGGAGAAAATGATGCTGTTGGAATCAATGCTGTTGCAACGATCCCAACAGCCCAATCTGATCCAAGTATCACTTTCCACACATCCTACCCACAGTGCCTACAGTAAGTACTGGCTCTGATGGCATCCTCATGATAAAGTACTTGATAAAACATGTGCACCTGTGTTCCTCTCCCTCCAGCAGTTTCCTGTATGCATTGATCTCCATATCCAGAGCCAGCTTCACATCCAGCAGCTCCTGGTATTCACTGAGCTGAGCGTTCATCCGGTCTCTCAGTTCAGCCATTTCTTGTTCTTTTGCTTCGATGGCACGGCGGTGCTTGTCTCGCTCAGACGACAGAATTTCTTCCAACTCTCTGATACGATCTTCTGAGGCAGTCACCTACAAAAGCAAACATGCAGACACCACTCAATTAAAACCAAATAGCAAACCACCAGAAATCCTGAGCTGTTTAAGGGATTTAAAGTGTGGAAGCTGTAGGAGAGGTCTCCATTTGGGTGTACTGGTGTCCATAAAGCCACACCTGTTTCTGCAGGGCGCTGAGCTGGTACCCAAGGCTCTCTATTCTGGTACGAGACTCCTGCAGCTCCTCCCTGGCTGAGCTCATTGCCTTGTCATTAATCTCAGAGGACACTTTGGCATTATCCAACTGCAGACAGAACGAGACAGATAGCATATTTGAACACAAGGAGCATAAAACAAAAAGAAAGAAAAGGGGAAAAGACAAACATGTGTCTTTCACCTTGGCCTGAAACGTTTGCTCCAGTTCTTCCTTATAAATAGAGACTTGCACATCATGTTGCCTCCGCAGGTCCTGGTTGGGATCACACAAGTCTGATTAACATTCATTCTCAACAGAAAGCCTGCTGAGCAGTGCTGACACAGATGTGAAGGTGAAATTTAGCATCAACACAAACACAGTACAGACATAATATATACATAATATACTTGCCAAAATGGTTACAGAGAAAATTAACAAGTCCTAGCACGCAATGTGAAATTGTGCAGCATTTTACAGTCAGAGCCAACCAGCATGCTCCTGTGCATGTGCGCATGGTGCCACAGGCAAAAAAGAGCTAAAGACTGACTGATACTAAAAATGCCTTTATTATTTGTATGATAACATTTGTTTTTCAATGACACAACTGTACCTGTAAATATACTGGGTTGTAGCAGCCACAGACACGGCAACATCAGAAATTAAATCATACCTGTAGAGCTTGTGCCAGTTTGAACTCATAGTCCTGTCTGACTCCAGAGTCCACCTCCACTATTCTCTGCTCATGTCGACGGCGAGACTCGCGCACCTCCTGAGCACAAGGAGTGAGTGAAGTGTAACAGAGAAACGTCACCCAAAGAAAACCCAAAAACTTTGCTACGTTAAAAGAGAGGGAAAGAAATCTGATTATGCAAACTTTATGGCAGTCTTGTGCACAGGCACAGTATTTACGACACAACCCATACCTCATCAAACATAGTCTTCCTGAACTCCAGCTCTTCACTCAGTGACTGACAGCGATTCTCCAAGTCCACACGCATCAGTGTCTCTGCCTCCAGCTGGCGTTTACCAACAGCATGGCTGTCCTCTGCCTACACATCATAAGACCGGGACATTTATTAGCACATGGACAACATTAGGCTGATTGGCTGGCTCTTCATGACCAAGCAGAGAACATTTGTTATGTTAGTCTGGCATACAAAAAGTAAATGAAACATTTACTTTTGGGGACATAATACCCAAATAAAAAGGTAAACAAAATTGTAATATCAATCACGATTAAAGTATTGTGGTGATCATATATTATCATTTCTAATTATTCAACCATTTCTAGACATTTCTTTTTCTGGCTTCATTTTTTTACTAAACATCTCGCATCTTTCCCACCTTGGCCAGCAGGCTCTTGACATCAGCTAGCTCAGAGCTCAGAGCAGCATTTTGGCTTAGAGCTGTTGAAAGAGCTGCTTCATTCTTATTCAGCTGGGCTTCCAAACCACTGGCCCTGGACATTGCTGCAGCAAGATCACCATCCTTTTTCTTTATACTGGAACAAATAGACAAGGAGGCAGAACACAATTAATATCTTTAAGTGGTCACTTAATGGCCCTTACAAGCTAACATCCAAAATCTTTAGCCACGTTAACACGATTTCAAATTTTAAAAAAAAAAGTATTTGATAAGGCGTTACCTGCGTGTAGCTTCTTCCAGGTCAGCCTGAGCCTTGCCCAGATCTATCTGGAGCCTGGCTCTCTCTCTAGCAGTTTCATCCAAAACTCGCCGAGCATCAGCCAACTCTGCCTCATACAGAGCCTTTAGGCCTGTTACCTAAAGAGAGGGATGCAAAACACATTACCTGGTGAAGAAAACACACACTACTGACTGTTCCAGAATGTAAAGTCTTCTGAGTGGTTGCATATTACAACAGAAGGACAGGTTTCTAAAGTTCACCTTAAAAAACAAAACAAAACAAAAAACCCCAACCTATTTCTTTTTTTTCTCCTTTCTTTTCTTTTAATCAGACAGAGGATTATTACAGGAACATACACTAAACTAAATATACACTGTGACTCCATTATTATGTCTTAAAATTAAATTTGTTCCCGTTTGAATTTTATCTGAATAAATAATGAATTGAAAAAGATAAATAAATAAAACTCTTTCAGTCAAGCACTGGGGGCAGTGTTAAATTCAACAGTCAGAGCAGCCGTTTCCAGCTGACCTAATTTCATTCAGTATCAATTATTCGGAATGAATAGATCCAACTACCACAACTACACACACTGTGTGACGTTTTCAGTAACCATATATAATGTTAAGATGTAACAAAAGTAATTACTGTCTGAAAATAGCCTTAAAGCTTTCCTTTCACTGCTGCCACCACATTGGACTTTCCGAGTCTAAATAAGATTCAACTAACAACAAAGAGGAAGTGCATTAGCATTTGAGCAAAAAATACCTCTTAAGTACTTCATGGGCATCTATAAAACCTATAGAAACCAACCATCGCACATTGCTTCACCAGTGGCAAAAAAGGCGAAGAAAAAGAAGACAGAACAAAGCAAGGCAGACTGGTACAACCATTCACACAATGGAGAGAGGTTTGGGATTTAAGACTTTCCAAAAATGTCAGCAAGCACGTCACACTTCTACTGGATCCAGAATTATTATTATTATTTTTTTTTTTAAACTTGCCTGCTTATGATCTAATTTACCTTTTTTTTTTAATTACCTTAGTGTCACTGGAATTTAAAATAACATTTTTAGAATTTATATTACATTATTAAGTAGCAACCCTGTCAGTGTTAGCCACATTGGTAACTACTCCCTAATACCTGCAGTACAACAAAAATGACTCCTGTTTTTTTTTAAAAACAAACAAACAAACAAACAACAACAGCAACAAAACAGCAGAAAACAGTCACAAACGCAGGCTTGTTAATTCAGTTAGCACTAGGCATGCCAACCAATAAAATCATAAGGCTAGTGTGCAGAAAAAGGTAGCATTGAGTGATCCACTGAGTGATTGCTAATATAAAAGAACACGTTTAGGGGCTCTCCTTTACTCGTTATAAAAGAAGGAACTTTGGAACATAGTATATGAAAGTGTAAAAAGGGTGGACATGGCCAATTTTTCACGAATGTGGTTATTGCGTGCGTTCATCGCTGTGTTGATTGGGGTTGCTACGTTACAAGAAAAACAGGAAATTGATGCTGCTATGGGCAACAACGTGTCTTTGCAACACCACCTGCTATAACTCCAGTAGAAACACTACAAAACCAAAATTTATCTGTTGTAGGTCAAGTGTCGAAATAGTAGTTCCTTTAAGAAGCAGTTCCATTACAGGGTTGCTACCTGTGAGCATACAATGACTCACAGCACGAAGAAATAAAGGATCTGGCACGATTACAAGATCTACCATTACTCAAATATGTTGGGGTTTTTTTTGTTTTTTGATGAAGCAGAAATCATACATCATGCAAAGGTCACATATAAAATAGAAACCACGCACAAGTTAAAATTTTAACTTTAGGGCAACAACTATTCAAGATTACAACAAACACCTTTGTCCCATGTTAGGTTCTATCGATGCTCATCTGATGAAGCGCAAAATTGTCTTGATAAAATCATCCAGGTAAGGAAATCAATCATTATGGTAAAGAAATTCCCAAAAAATGGAT